TCCTCGAATCCTCTCTGAGGCTTCTTCCAGCACACACCCAGCGATTCGGAGCCAGCAAACCCAGGGCGTCGAAACGCTCGTCTGAGATGGACTCCCGCAGGGGCGGCTGTGCCGCCAGCAGATCGATGCCGCTCAAGGTTCAACGCCCCATGAGAGGCGGATCCGAACAGACACCGACTGTTCTGGCAGTGGGTTTGGCGATAAGCTTGCACATCGTGTAACGATACAAGCTCCTCAACCGTGGCTACGCTCTGGCACAGAAAAGGCACAGAGGCAGCCCACCGTCACTTGAACTCAACCCCAAGCAACAGTCATTGAGACGCAACCGATTGAGCCAGACCAGCAGCAACATTCAGCCGCCGGTCACAGCACTCGGAAGCGCTCGGTCACTCATCAGTTACCAGGCTCCATCCAACTGACACGCCTTTGCAGGCGTCCCAACTGTAACCAGTCGGGCCAAGGCCAATCAGAGAACCTTTCACTGGGCAAGCTTGGAGTTCCAGCCGTCTGCAAATCGTGGAAACTCAACCGTGTCGACCGGGAGCCGCCATTCTCTGCTTTCAGCTTCCACCTCCTCTGCTCAACCATGGCAGCACGGCACGTGAAAAGGTGTATTGCAAGTCATAGTAAACTTAAATGGTATTTCTGGAACAAACCGCACACAATTTGCTGCAAGTAGGGAGGGCCACGGGCCACCAGTTGACAGGAGAGGGAAGGGTGGAGCGCCCTGTGTAAGGAACGGTGGGATGGGCAGGGGCATGCACTATAGCAGAGGATGGAGGCCCCAGGGGGCAGGCAACGCATCTACAGGCTGCACCATGGTGTTTGGTGCTTGCCCAGGAGCAGCCAGCCAGGGACCTGACCTCCTGGTAGGTATGGGGGTGGGGTGTGGCCAGCCAGGCCGCGCCAAGCAGGCGATAGGCGGCTGGGCGGCTGGAGCTGCGGCGTGGTCACGGCGACGGTATGGCGCTGGGCAACGCGCCAAGGTGGCGTCGGAGCTGCGCCCCGCCTCCAGGCCTTCACCATGCGCGATGGCACGCCGGCATGTTGGCATGGGAACGCCAAGCCCGGCACGGAAGCGGCGGTTGATTGAGTAATGGCACAGCCGACCGCTGCGGCAGGCCACTTTGCACTCCTGCCTGCACCCTTACATGTGCAGCCTTCTGGTATTTTCATGTGCCTGGGAGATGTGCGGGCATGGGGGCCCGTGTGCCCCATGCCATTTGAGTGCCCGGCGGCGGCGCTACCTGCCGCCGGGAGCCCGCACCAGCATCGGCACCCGTCGGCCTGGCAGGCCTAAGCTGCTAAGGATCCCCACGTCCCCCACCACGCTGTGGGGGTTGCGTGTCCGGCACGACGGGGAGTGGGCCCGGGGTGGGGTGACCCTGGGACGCTCAGCTTGGGGGGAGGGTGGCTGGAGCCATGGTGTAGCAGGTCTCAGATCCTGCTCAGCTGATAGTACATAGTTCCCTCCATTCATACCTGGCAATGCTGTGCTTTGCATGCTGTGCCACCACTATTGCTGATTATTAAACCCTAAACCCTAATTTGCTGGGCGATTGAAAGCATTTCAATGGCAACGGGACGAACAGACGGCAAAGCGAGTGACAAACTCAAACCAAAACGGGAGTTGCACATCATATATTTGTGCAGCCAACTGTCACCTCCCACCCTGTGGAGGGGCACGCACCATTAACTTGCAACAAGAACGTAGAGACACCAGCGGGACGAGGGATAGTGAATATCCCGTTGGGGAGGACGTCGCGATAGGCAAACCACAGACACTCCTTGGGGCAACCAGATGTGGGAGCCAGGCGTGCCACACAGGGGCCGTTGCTGGTGACGGTGCCGTTGCCGACTCTGCACTCGGTTGCCTCGCACGAATTACCGTTCTTGTCGAGCAAGCATCCCCTATCTCTGACCCCACGGGAGGGTTTGCCCTCAGTCCCGGTCAACACTCGGAAAATTTCGGCGCCGGTGTCGCCACGATACAAAATGTACTCATCGGGCTGCGGAGGGCAAGGGCAGGAGCGGTCAGGCCATAGCATTTGCAACTCCAAGATTGTGACAAATGCCTTGCAGTACTCACAGCTGAGAACGAATTGATAGTTAGCGTCAGATTGACGCCACCAACGTTGTTGACAGTGTGTGTGAGGTTGCTCGCACCACCAGTGAAAGTGACAAAATCGCCGCAGCTTATGTCTTTCGTGCACGCCTTGTTCGTGCAGGAGTAGCCGAAGCCAGAGGGGCAAGTGAAGCCGCACAGGCCGCAATTCGGATTTGAGCTCAACGGGTTCTCGCAGCCGTTGGCGGTGTTGCCATCACAGTTGCCAAACCCTGCATGCACGCAGATC